TCACTGCGTATTCGCGTATCCACTCCAACATACACCTTCATATCTATAGGGGGAGGGTTGGTCTTCTTCACTGGGTATCCGCGTATCCACTTCAACATATACCTTCATATTTATAGGGGGAGGGATGGTTTTCGTCACTGCGTATCCCCGTATCCACTCCAACATACACCTTCATATCTATAGGGGGAGGGATGGTCTTCTTTACTGCGTATCCGCGTATCCACTCCAACATATACCTTCATATCTATAGGGGGAGGGGTGGTCTTCTTCACTGCGTATCCGCGTATCCACTTCAACATATACCTTCATATCTATAGCGGGAGCGGTGGTCTTCTTTACTGCGTATCAACGTATCCACTTCAACACATACCTTCATATCTATAGGGGAAGGGGTGGTCTTCTTCACTGCGTATCCGCGTATCCACTTCAACACTGATACCTTCATATCTATAGGGGGAGGGGTGGTCTTCTTCACTGCGTATCCGCGTATCCACTTCAACACTGATACCTTCATATCTATAGGGGGAGGGGTGGTCTTCTTCACTGCGTATCCGCGTATCCACTTCAACACTGATACCTTCATATCTATAGGGGAAGGGGTGGTCTTCTTCACTGCGTATCCGCATATCCACTTCAACATATACCTTCATATCTATAGGGGGAACGGGTAGTCTTCTTTACTGCGTATCCGCGTATCCGCGTATCCACTCTAACATATGCCTCGTTCTCCATTTTTTCTTAAAGTTAATATTCCGCATATGCCTTCATATCTACAGGGGGAGGGGTGTGTTCTTCACAGCTTATGCAAGTCTTCTCGCCTTGTTAAGCATAATCGTAGAAGTATAATCCTGTATAATTCCTCCAAAATCTAAAGAAAACTCAATGATCAAAAATAAATTTTTTTCATAAATCCTGCGATTGGCGAAACAGAAATTTTTTAAAAGTTACTTGTCTGAATTTTGAAGCAATATTAAAACTTGATTTAAYCATATGCCATCTTGTTATTGTGAAAACAACAAGGTGGCTTTAGTTAGAAATTGTGAAAGGGTCTGGTAACTAGAAATTTATAAGAAGACCCCAGCTCCTTGTCATTTTGCATAATTTTTTGCTTCTTTGTTCTAAGTGGTGGCGGTAAATAACGTTCATATTTTATTCAAGATCAAGATACTTAACTATAAGAAATGGTCATAAATGGTAGATTTGTGAAAAAAGGACRAAATTGTAAGCMATTTCTTGAACACTTAAGTTATACTAATCCGCATTGTCCTGCATAATTTGAACTGTTTCTTGGCATTCTGTCAGAAGCCCTGATTAGGGGAGGGGTCGATGGGGYGGGTATTGGTCCAACTCACCTGATAGCCAGGTATGTCTAGGCTCTGCCACCATGGGTTTTTATCTAATGCCCGGGACTCTATATTCCAAAGAACGAAGGCTCACATTAATTTTTTTAAACCTTAATTCAGCCTCTGAAAACAAGTCCTTCCACCCCCCAAATCAATCCTAGGCCCACTAAAACACACTTCTAATTAAATATTGAAGTCTAAAAAAAAGATATATTCAAGGCATTACAAATATKAAGCACATTTTTCAGTATAAAAATGTAATCTTTTATTAGTTTAAAGAGATATTTTAATGATGAGGTTCAAATAGAAAGAAATAGAGGWTATTACATGGGCGCGCGGAGATACGAAATTTATCTTCGAGTGTTGAAAAGATCTCTCACAAGTGAGYGCAGCGAACGAGTGAGAGATTTTCAACACRAGAAGATAAATTTCGTATCTCCAAKCGCCCATGTAATATTCTGTTTATTATATAATTATCAATGAAAGTATGTTTTGGCTTTTTCAGGCAATTCTTTTCGTGTATTTTTGAATAGCCATCGCAATGGTGTTATTTTCACACGTGAAAATAACATGTTATTTTCACGTGTGAAGATATCAATTTTTCGAAATAGAGAAAAATAGATATTTCATTGGTAATTATATAATAAATATATATTATAGATGATAATTTTTGAAAACTAAAATTTTCAAATGACTACCCCCTCTATCAAAAATAAAAATAACTATAAAAATATATCCTCAAACATAATCCTCCATATAATCTAATACCTCATTAATTTTCAGAGGTTTCATAGTATAGTGTTTCATGTGTTTACAGCTATTTCAAAAAAGGTTGAATACTGAATGAATACTGCGTTATTACTGAAAAGGACATTGTGGGTCTAGTTAATTTGAAATAAAAAGTAAATATACAGCAATTAACTCTCTAAATGTAGTTAGTATATTGTTTAAGATGGAATACACTAACAATAGAATAAATAATTATTATTAATCCTAYTTTAGACAATGTCACTATGACCCACAATGCACTTTGGTATTGGAATGCACTATTCAGTATGCAGTATTCAGTATTCAACCTTTATTGAAATAGCTGAATATTCACAAGTAATAATCAAACAAAATGCAAGGGCATACGTGAGGGGGGGGGGGAGAGGGGGGAGGTGGCCGGGGAGTAGTAGTTTAGAAACAATCACATCTATGTACTGGTTTTATTTACTTGTAGAGCTTAGGTTCAGTGTTTGCTCAACATCCTGTGTGTATCTGCATGTTGACCAATGTTTCATTTTCTTAATTGGGTTTCCAGCCTGGAGTATATCAGAAGGAAACCAAAATATGRTGTTATCATGAATAAATAAAAATAAAATTGATTGGTTTTAAACTAAATTAGGTAGTTCATATGGTCTAATTCTCTATGGTCTAAGTCTAATTTTAGAAAGTGTGATCTTCCTTTTCTGTGAGAATATGAAATAAAACAAGTAGAGTGATAGATATAACAAAGGGGTWATATAGAGTAAGGGATTAAAACAACAAAATGAAAATGCAGAGATCAGATGCAACAAAATCTATTTCAAATACTTTGTAACCCTTGCAAAACAAAAAWAAAATTTGAACTACAAAAGGGTCTGTGATTTTTGCGTGGAAAGACTTGTAGATCAAGGGGGCTGCAATAGAAGATGAAAAAAGATACAAATTTTAATTGATTTTAAATTAGTATAATTTTTTTCGTATTATATGGCTTAGATTATGTAGGCTTTGATTGGTCAAGAACTTGTGAACTACTGAAGAGTTGGAATATTGACAATATGATCAATGTATGCAGCCAACTTGGCAAAGAAACTGCATTGAAGAAAGAAAGTAGCATTGAAGAAACCAATTAGCATTAAGAATACAAGATTTTTTTCCTTTCCATTTATTAGATGAGTAAAACACCAATTTATATGTGTTCTGTTCAGTAATAAAACCCTTTGCTAGTGAAAAAACACTTGGAAATAGTGTGAGATACACTTGCCTACAACTCATCACTTCCTRTGTATTTTACTACTAAACAGAATCCACAGAAAAGCTGTTTTACATGAAAATTTAAATTTAATTAGTCTTTTTGCAAATTATTATCCTTTGCCATTAGTTAGGGCTACAGTGATAAAGAGCAATAAAATGTTTTCATGGCAATCGATTGTGTGGTTCAGTACATGAATAAGGTAAGAGAATCATGCTTTTTCATCTTTTCATATTGAAATATATCTTTGTYTTTAAATCATGAACAAACTAGTAAGTCATAGGCAAATAATATCAAAATTCATGAGAGTGGCTGGTCCATATTAAATGGAGAGAAATTAATAAACTTGTTTTTATGAAGCATTATGAACAAAAGACGGTTTGCATTTAAGCTAAACCCTCATTCTACTGGCAAAGGATGATTACAAAGGGTAAAGAGTTAGAATAAAATAAAATGCAAAAGGAAGGAAATATACGAATGAAATGGGTAAGATCAAACAATCACAAGAACAATATATGGACTTCAATATTAGGTATAAAGTATAATAAGCTCACCATTAACCACAATGGACGTTCTGACTGAGACAATTAATTTTTTTCTTTTTTTTTTTCCTTTTTTTCCTTTTTTGTGCGCTTTTCCTTTTAATTTCAGAAAAAAAGGTTCATCTAACGCGAAGTGAGCACGCGGTCCAATATTACAGCGGTATTGCATTAAAACAACCTTCCCAGCAGTCCTTTGGGGCTTGATTCAAGATGGCAGACCAAAAGCAATCAAATTTGAACTCGAGTTTGTTTTAGGGCGCTTTTCAAGCACAACGGAGACTTTTAAAGTATATTATTGGCTATTGGAAGAAGAGAAAGGAACGTTGTTTTGTACTGGACGTTTTTTTAACTGCGGTTCCATTTATTTTCTTTGCAAAGATGGCACTAAATGTGTGGCTTCGGTTGTTCTTCTATGGAATTCATGGGTTCTTTGATGAAATTGTCTTYACTTCCACCGTAGATTTCATCGCGTCTGGCTTCACAGACTGGACCATGAAAGGTCATTCATCAATCTGGTCTTTTTTTATTTATGGGCTATGCAGCTACACAGTTGAATGTATGTATCTTCATCTGAAAACCAAGACGAACGTTCCCATGGCAATACGTGGAGTAATGTACGTGCTGTGGGTGTATACGTGGGAATTCTGCTGTGGTTTCGTGTTGAGGAAGTTTAATGCCTGYCCATGGGATTACAGTCATATGAGATGGAATCTATGTGGACTCATTACATTGCAGTATTTTCCATTCTGGTATCTGGCTAGTCTGTACCAAGAAATATTGACTGATTATTTGATGTCCATTAAGACTGGGGATATTTTGTGCTCCTCTTGTAATARAATAGTCATTCCTGAAAAGAATAARAGTGTTTGAATWTTGGATCAYTTATARCCGCATTAGCAGCTACCTTACTTCGTCGGTGTGATATATTTCAATAGGAATTGCAATGGTTGTATTGTACATCAATAAAGAATATTTAAAGACAAACGCCGAACTAACCATGAACTTAATTCAGTCGAACCTATTAATATCGAAACAGGATGATGGTTAGTACGACGTTTTCATGATCATACTTTTTTTTCCAATTTCTCTTCAAAGATGAAATGACAGGAACCTTTGCACCAGTACATTATGCCTGCCATCTGCTCCTAAACGTCYTTAAAATAAAGAATATTGTTATCCACAGTCAGTTTAAACTCATTTGTATGTTTATTATTTGTTATAACATAGGCAAGATATAACACGTGCTCTGATTGGCTAATGTGCTATGCGAAAAAAGTGGATATCCCATATAGAGATATCCCATAGAAATTTTTTTTACGGTGAAGCGGCGAAAWATTCACCGTTGGTTCGCTAGCTGTAGCAAATAGCAAAGTGTTTCGTGACTTAAAACTAGRAATATGGCTTCTTTTCCATCTAACAAAGATTATGAGCTTCCTAATTTTGATTTTGAGTTTGAGCAAAWCATTGAACCCCCACWTAATAAACAAMAAAAACCAGAAACAAATTCACGAAGATTTGCTAACYTCAACGAAAACGAGTTGCAAGATATCCTCGCTGATAAGCAGTCTGYCAAGACCAAAAAAACGACAAACTGGTGTGTTTCCAYGTTTAAAGGTAAGAAAAATTAATTAATAGYTTYTATGAGATAAAATGGCATGACCTTTTGACTTAGTTGAAAATATAGAAACTAGTTTTCATGAAAAATATTTTTCGCGAAAATGTCAACACAGACAATAAACACTAACGTGGCTTCCGTAAGTTGTGTTGTAGACAGCTATCACTCTCAACRAGGAAAATWWTAAAATATTAAAAAACAATCTTTTCGTTAATAATTACACTAARGACGACGTAAAAACGTTTGTGGAAAAAGAGTATCCTCCTAGACAGTGTTATTATGTAATGTTATCCTATTGATGATTTTCAACCATTCCCAAGAGAATTAAATAACAAAAGACACGGCGGCCATGTTGGAGGACATAGCAAAAGAATTCATTGACAATTCTTTTGTTAAGTTCCTCCAACATGGCCGACATGAAAACTATCAATACGGGTCACGCCATCGTACTTTCAGGCTAACTTCTTTTAATWTTTCGTCTTACTTCAAGACGCACTAAATCTGCAAATATAATGCACCTGACCGCACAATGCACAATTTGCCCGTCTTTATAATTGACAAACTTAACGTCGCGTACAAAAGACGGATTAAAAAAGTTTGCTAAAGCCCGTACGGACGTGTAAAACAAACAAACGAACAAACAAACAAACAAACAAACAGAAAYTAGTGGTTAAAGAACATCATTCACTCATGATTAAAAAGCCACATGGAGCTGCGTCATTTATTCAGTTGTATTATGTGGGCGCACTGTCTTAGCCTGAAACTGATAGTAAGAAAATRGATACCTTCTTTCCCCGTTTTATTATCAGACCAGTTGACTTTTTTTCTAAACTGGACGCCCTGTGGCATCAGCGGTTCAGGAAACAAATCAAMGAGGGCTCATGAGCGCGCGCTCTGCTAATTATACGTCACSACTGACGTCATTAATTCTAATGATAGAATAAAATGACGTTGCAGCGCAAAATTGATTCATTTGAACAATCGACATGGAGTCGGAAAACGAAGAGCAGTATTGTAAGTCTTTTTTCTTCTCATGTATCAAACCCCGAGCTGCAAGCGGGGTAAAAGCTGAAAGCTTTGTCAAACACATTAATTGAACTACTTCTTACATTTTGAATGTTTTATTTTTGTTATTATTATTTCAGATTTAAGCAAAAAACGATTGATCAGCAAAGTAAAGGTAAGGGTAGCATTTGAATATTCAATAATGTATACGTATTGTAAGTAAGCAATTGTATTAAGCAGAAAACACCSACAGACAGAAATGACTATGCAACGCGCAAACAAATAGGAATATTAACAGCAGGCACGAATGAAATAATGAAAACAGATAGTAAAGGACAGAAATGCACTAGTGAAGAAAGAATATGAACACTTGAAAAAAAAAAAAAAAAAAAAAAAAAAAAAAAAAAAAAAAAAAAAAAAAAAAAAAGCAGCATTGAGTTAAGATTGAAAAAGGTATATGCTAAA